ACTGATGAAGGGTATGAGACAATGAGCAGTGGTTCAAGTGATGATGAGGATGAAGAGTTTGATGATATTCTCCATGATTTTACTATAACTAATGTAAGTGTTCAACCAAATACCAATGATATTATTTATGATTATTATACAAGGACTACAAATATAGAAGAGGGCATGACATCTAATAATGAATATGCTGAGATTCCTAAGAATACACGTCAATGGAATGCAGATGTTGCACCTGATAGTAGTAATGTTTTTAGCATCACAGATGATGAATTTATCATTCTGAATGAATTGGTAAAAAATATGTGTTTTCGTAAAAAATCAGAACTGTAATTTGCCTTGCACGGTTGGTCAATCATAAATAATGTTCAATTTGTCGTTGTGGCATCGAACAAACAAAAGTTTACAGTTGCTTGTGTACAACATGATACTATGCCGATAAAGTGTCCTTGACGTTTGCATGCCAGCTTAAGCAAGCGATTGGGTGGGGTATGGAAAATAGCTACCATAAAGGGTACACATACGTGTAAGAACCCAATTCTTCAAGCAGGTCACAGGCAATGTAATTCATAGTTCATTAGCTTCTTTATTATTCCAATTATAAGAAAACAAATGAATATAAAACCTAGAGAAAATTGGAAGAGTTGAGGCAAAGTTTAACATTAAAGTTTCATATATGAAAGCATGTGATGCACGTCGGAAGGCTATTAAAGTAGTGTTTAGCAGTTGGGAAGAGTCCTACTGATCCCCGGATTTGTTCATGGAAGGTATTGTTCAAGCTATGCCAGGAACTGTGTACAAAATCCAATCTTCAAGTTCATATAGATTTCAAAGTTTATTTTGGGCTTTCGGTCCATCTATTAGTGGTTAGAGGTTTTGTCGGCCTGTCTTTAGCCTGGATGGAACTTTTCTTTTGGGTAACTATAGGGGAACATTGCTCATTGCAGTTGGGCTTAATGCGAATAATGGGCTATTCCCATTAGCTTTTGGAATTGTGGAGTCAGAGTGCAACGAATCTTGGATCTGGTTTCTCACCATGTTACATGATTTACTCCCTGCTATTGCAAGTAGAACTAGTCTTTGCATCATATCTGATCGACATCCTGGGTTGGTGCATGGATGTCAGGACATCTTTCCTTGGGCAGCACATCGTCACTGTCTTAGACACTTACGTGAAAACTTTAAGAAAGTCGTTCGCCAAATGGGAGTATCTAATTATAGTCTTAGACACTTACGCTTGCTTATTTAATTATTATAGTATATTTATCCATAACATTTGATATTTTATAAAAAAATTGATTATAAAAAATATATTACTTTCAACACTATAAAATATATGAATGATAATCAAGAAAAATAACATTTAAATTAGAATCATTTATAACAATATGTCATCTCAATAAAGTTTAAGCTCAAAAAATATTACTACAACTGTAATTTTTTTTATAAGAACAAAGGAAGTTGGCATAGTTGAGTTGAGTTTATTCTTTATGCTTTCTTTGCCATTTTTATTATATGAAATAATTTTTTTATGTCAAATTATAGGTATTATGGCAGAAACTCAACCTGTACGTAGAAAATGTCAAACTAGAAAACCTATACCACAGGGTGATGAAGAGCAGCAAAATATCCCAATAGATATAAATCCCAGCATTGCATCATTATGTGGGTCACACAGAGCAGCTCATCCGGATGAGATATGATATGATTTAAAATATTTTGATTATCATTATTTTATTTTATTTTACTAATTCCCTTAAATCTTCTTGACATTTAGGGGACAGTTTTGGAAGCTGCCTCGCATCTTCTTATGGTTCACGAGTGGCCAATAAATTGCCCAAGATTTATGGAAGGCCTACGAGTTTGCTGTGATATATAAGGATGGATCACAACCTTCTTACAACTTTGGTTGAGCGTTGGTCACCACAGACAAACTCATTTCACTTACCTGTAGGTGAGATGACTATTACATTACAAGATGTTGCTCTGATATTGGGCCTTCAGATTGATGGGCAGGCATTGGTTGGAAACATTGTTGTAGGGCTCGGTAGACGATGGGCAAGTTGGTCGGATTGCTGTGATGATCTATTAGTGCAGCATCATGAGCGAGATGTTGTTTATCAAGATCCATTCAACCCACGAGTCTCATCAAAGTTTAGGATGGGCCAGGCACAGGCTCAAATTTGCCTACCTTTGAGATGGTTACGTTGGACCTTCTATAGAGATTCCTACTTGGACTTGAACGAGCTAGATTTTTGGCGGCATGTTCGTGCGTACATTCTCTTTCTAATGGGAACTTATCTACTCCGGGACACCTCAGGTTGTGAGATTCATTTGAGGTTCTTACCTTTGTTGGAGGACTTGGGGTTGTTCAACACATATTCATTAGGGGGAGCAGTACTAGCCCACTTGTACCGGGAACTTACTGAGGCGACTAAGCCTAAGAGGGCCAATATTGCAAGCTGCATTCACTTGCTTCAGATTTGGTGTTGGGAGCGACTTCATGTTAGACGACCTGCACTTCATGTCCCACATCATGTCAGTTTGGATGGACTTTTTGTTGGCTACAGGTAACCAATAACAAAAATGCTAATAAGTATAAATTTTCCTTTCTAATCATAACAATATAATTTTTTTTTTTTTTGTAGGTGGAATCAATAATTCATAAGGCAGCTTCCAACAGGTAGCCTCATCAGCTACAGAGATGAGTTAGATGGACTTTTAGATAGTCAGGTTTGTATTCTTATTAGTAATATAGACGTTATATTTCTTAATGGATAAAACTTTCAATTATTTGATTTTCCAGGTGATTTGGGAGCCGTACACCACGGAAGTTCGCTCTTAGGTTGCTGATATATGCTTATCAGAAGAAGCTATCTGGTTGGCTTGTGTGCCTCTAGTTTATTGGACTTGGGTGGAGTGGCACCTCCCTGATAGAGTTGTTAGATAGTTTGGGCTTATTCCTACCACGAAGGTTCAACCAATGGAGCTCAAATTTGCACGAGTTGATGGGCGTAGTAAAGCTGATACAGATTGGATGGTGTACCACCTTCCCTACATTGGATTATGGGAGGATAGACGAGCATATATCATTGAAGGAATTACTGCAGGACCTGATAGTGAACACTTCATTCATGAGTACTTACAGTGGTTCAGGTTCTGGGCGACATTATACATGTTGAAGCCACCAACAACACTACCGAGTACATACTACCCCAGAGCACCTTCAGAGCGATATTTGATATGTAATATCAGTGTGTTATATACTTCATTTCTTAAGAATTATAACATTATTGAAGTTCTATTTATTTTCCTTTCACTCAGCTTAATTTCTTCCTGAAGACAGAGAGGGCAGTGTTACCTATGGTTGGTTCAAATGACTACAACAATGCCGATAGTGTTATTAAGAGAAATGCTGAGATGATAATAGATTTGCGTAGAGAGCTTAATATCCCTGATTACCTATACTCTGAGCATGGATATGCAGGGTATCCATACGAGTCCTTCAGTCCAGTGATAGGTGAGCCTCAATCTACTGATGCAGAGCCATCATCTCAAGATTTGGGACCTTCTTATCCTTTCTTTACTCAACCGCTCAGCAGACTACACCAGGCTGGTACCCACATGAGCATGTTCCAGATAGTACGTTAGCAGGCACAGTTAAGGCAGAGCAGGAGGGCATCTTTGGGGTCGAGCAGCATGTGTTACGTGACAGGCCTGTACGTCGACCACAGTATTACACCAGGCAGTGATGCTTTACCCTATAGAGGAAGTAGGAGATGTTAGTTTATGATATGTTTTGATTATGTATTATGTAGACTTCTGCTGATGTTGCATTTTGTGATTAATGAATATGACTTTGCTTATCTTTCTTTCAGCTAACATACTATACACTTCAGTAATTAAATTAAATCAAATTAAATTTATTTGAAAATTGATGAGATTAACTAGTAAGGCGAATTACTCATTCAACATATAACTACTATTTGATTGAATTTAACTATATATATATATATATATATATATATATATAAAAAAATGCTAAGACTTGTCAGTAAGGTCACATCTTGCCCATGGACAAATTTGGGTCATACACATATCACTAAAATATTATTTATTTTAGTATCTAACATGTAAATCACTCAAATCTTTAAATAGCACAAAATATGGCATAAAATTCATTTATATAAAATGAAATTCATCTTTTCATACATATATTTTAATATAATTTTAACATAAATATATCAAAAAATAAATTAAAATTAAATATATCAAAAGTATGTGCTATGTAAGTAACCCCCATAATTTTGTTATATATAATTATATATCATTAATTTTACATGTTTTGTGTTTTACCATAAAATAAAAATATTATTAAATAAAAAATAAAGAAACTAATAATATAAAATTAATGTAATTGAACATAAGGAGCAAAACTTTCAATCACTTAGCATGTGATAGCATTATTTGCACGCAAATATGTAAAGATTCCTTATCTTTTATTATTTTAATATTTAAGAAAAGAAATTTTATTTTATATATCTCAAAATACTCAAAATAAAAAATATGTATAATTTTATTTTTTAGAGTAATAAGGCCAAAAGTGTTTAGCTTCGTTTGGGATAGCTTTTTTTACTGCTTTTTAAAACAACTTTTTTAATAGAATAAATTTATTGAATTAAAAATTCTTGTATTGAAAAGCTGTTTTAAAAAATAATAAAAAAATTATCCCAAATAAAGTCTTACGCGGGTCAGAATACACCAACTTTGAATTGTGTATTAATTTTTTAAATATGCTATAATAAAAAATAATTCAATCAATATTTAAATAAAATTTGAATAATATACAAAAATCTGCTTTAAAAAATAATAAAAAAGCTATCACACATGAAGCCTTAGATGTATTTTAGTAAATTAGATGTGTGATATTTTAAAGCTTATTTTGTAGTGATATAATTGTTGTAATTGCCAACGTCATAGCTCAACTTGATCAAAAATTTTTGATGAAACACCTCGGGCCTGTTCATGATTTCCTTGGGATCAAAATCAATAAACACGCTCAGTCTTACTTTCTTTCCCAACGTCAGTATGCCACTTCAATTCTCCAGCAAACAGATCTCATAAATTGTAATCCAGTGGTCAATCCAACATGCACAAAACTACCGGAAAAACTGGTAACCGATTCTAAACTTTTAGATCCTTCTTTATACAGACGCATAACAGGTTCTCTTCAGTATTTAACGCTCACAAGACCAGACATAGCATTCAGTGTAAATCAGCTCTCTCAACATATGCATGCTCCTCAACAACAGCACGCTTTCATGCTCAAGAAGCTCCTTCGTTACATCAAAGGTACACTTGATTTTGGAATTCCAATCCATAAAACTGACTTAGTTCTCACATCTTTTTCAGATGCCGATTGGGCTGGAGATCCCAACTCTCGCAAATTAACATCCGAATTTTGCTCATTTCTTGGCGACAATCTCATATCCTGGACGGTGAAAAAGCAACAAATTGTAGCCAGATCCTCAACAGAATCTGAATACCGTGCGTTAGCATCTCTAACAGCGGACATTATCTGGCTGAGAAGGCTGCTATCCGATTTTGGTCTTCCACAATCCAACCCAACAGACATGTTCTGTGATAATACTTCCGCAATTGCGTTAGCCAACAATCCGGTTTTCCATGCTCGTACGAAGCACATAGAGATTGATCAAAAGTTCATTAGGGATCATATCCAGCAGAACCATGTTCGGCTTCTACCTATTAACACGATTGATCAAACCGCCGATATCTTCACCAAAGCATTATCTACTCCAAGATTCCTTTTGCTTAGATCCAAACTGACTGTCTCTCAAGACCCATCAGTTTGCAGGGGCATATTAGAATATCAAGATAAATAAATAATTGTATTTATTAATTAGATGCTTAGGTGTCATTTTATCATTGGCTCTCAAGAACCAAAGCTTTACCTTCTGCTATAAGTACTGTACCTATTCTCCTAAAATAAAAGAAGATTTACTTTTTACTTCTTATTTCTTCGGCTCTGTCTTGTCCTCGTTTCATCTTCTTCAAACACAATATCCCAAGTTTCAAAAATCTCATGTGAGTAGAAAGGGTGAAGATTTGATTCAAAATTTGTTCATCTTTTTCATGACAATCATGGAGCGGTTAGTTTATCTCTAGCTAGCTATCATCATAGAAACATTATTTTCTTATTGTATTAAAAGTTGTAAAATGCTAATTTTATTAATTTTTAATAATATTATTATTTATTACGTCATTCTGCTGGACCTCGATTTGATCGGTCGAACTGTGAATCTCTCATTCTTTCAGTTTGTTGTACGATCCAATTTTCACAACATTGCAATTTTCATTGGAATCACAGTCAATTTTTATTAGAATAAATGTGGCAATATGAGGTCTGAAAAATTAGTTTGCGGTTTCAAGTGGGGGTATTTTGGTTAGAACTAATTTTTTTAGCATATTTTACTAAGAAATGAAATAATGTACGTATTTCTCTAATTTTGGGCATTACGAGCATATAAAGTCAAATTTCTATTCTATATAATCAAAACTAAACTAAAAATTAAAGAAGTAATCAAAACTATTAGTAGAAAATTCTATAATCAAAAGGTCCATTTTGGCAAGATCGAAGTTTTTTTTTTAATTTGAACAGAATTTTCAGATATATTTTCTCAAGAAATGAAACACCAAGCTGAAATATTTCTCCTATTACAAACATTTTGTGGTCAAATAAAAATTTTCCCTTCAATAATATCCACAAATTATCTTGAAACTCACATCATAATGTAACTCAAGAATTAAAAAGTAAATTTAAGTCAAAAAAATAAAATAAAATTTCTTAGAAAATTAAATGATAATATCCTATTTAAGACTTAATTAATATAAACTTTTTAAGTCTTATATTTATTTTATGCATGCAGAATACAATAGTACTACAACAAAAAGCCTTTACCCCACTATGTGAGGTTGGATAAATGAATCTATTTTGTCTATTACATTCTATTAAGAGTCAAATTATCATTAATTAATTTAAATCTGCTCAGAAAATATCATTTTAATACTCTATATGTAATCAATTTTTTTAGGTTCACCTCTACCTTCTATGAATGATTTTAAAATAATAAAAAAATTAAGAACCCATTTACATTTAATTAAGATATGCTTATCCAATTTTTTGTGATTCATTCCTCACAAAAGTTGAACCACATTAATCTCCATCATCAATGTAATATGGGGCCAGGGTCAATATATACATTAATTAAGCTTTAAAATATATAATATGAGTTATATATAATTTAATAAAAAATAATTAGAAAATTTCTTCCATAATTAATATAGTCTTTCATGTAACATCAATGTTAAATTGTCCATGATTCATCTTAGGATTTTTTTTTTAAATAGTTTTGGCATTTCAATAAATATTGATGATAGATATCTCTATGTACAAACTCTTTAGTTCTTGGTTTTTTTTTTTTAGTGTGATCTCTATGTTAAATTATAAAGCCTAGTTTTTATCTTGCAAAGAAAAAAAAGCGGCACAGACTTAGGGTCTGTTTGGGACGGTTTATAGTTTTTTGTAAAGATGATTATAAAGTTGTTGTGAGGAAGGTAAATTTTATGAAATTTGCAAATAAGTAGTAGCCAAATATAAATTGTGATTGCAGACTAAAAAGAAAACAATAAGAAAGCTTTCTCAAACGAATCCTTATGGCCCGTTTGAGACTGATGTAGCTTTTTATAAGTAAGATTGTAAAACTGCTGTTGAGAACATAATTTTTTTTAAGATGTTATAGAAAACAGGTTACTAGCACAAATATTTCTTGAAAGCAATGAAAAAATAATTGCCAAATAGAAATTGTAATTGCAGTCTAAAAAGCAAAGAAATAAGAAAGTTGTCTCAAACGAAGCCTTAGTTGCGGGCTAACCTTTACAGTAAGGTCATTCTAGGGTTGGAGAGCCCCTTATTGGAGGCTTGAGGACAAATTCCCTTGTCACCCAATCAAATAACTCAATAGAGCAAACCCTAATGATGTCATATTAGACTCGTGTCTTAGTGCGGCCTACAGTCTTGAAGTTTTAATTTAACCTTTTTTATGTAAATGTCACATGGCCTAAATATTACACGAAGATCTAGCACGTGCACATATAAGAGAAGAGTTGTATGATATTAGAGATTTTATATGAAAAACCCCTTAATAGAGAAAACCACAGGGCCTATCTCAATTGGAACGTTTTCACTATCAATTATCATGAGTTATAAATAATGCTCTTCCCCATGAATAATGAAGTGTCTATATAATATAATGTGAATACAATGTATTTAATGAATTTCGTGATTCATGGGAGCTATATTTCCCTTTAAGTTTGGGGGTCGCAGACTAAGAAGTTTAACATAAATCTTACTCGTGATGTTAGGAGTCGGAGTTAATATCAACGACGTGCATAGACCTTATAAGTGATGTCGTGCGGCGACATTATTTGTTACGGAAGGCGATAAATTAGAAGGCATCAGTCAAGTCAAGCTATAGTAGTCGAAGGATCATTGTGAAGTGACGATGGTTAGGAGATTGAGTTTAGCAATGATGGTTTGAAGTAGCAAATAAGTACTTAAATACCTTCAATAAATGCTAAGCCTATTATCTATCAAATACCTTTAACAATTTGAGATATAAAATAATTTGCTCCAAGAGTCTTATCAGCCTAAATAGTGAAAGGAGCATATTAGAGAGAGCTATTTCCAAGGGGAGGGAAGGAGTTAATTAAAAAGAATTGGATTTTTTCATAGAAGCTACTAATTTTTGCAAAAGAGTACTATTTAGAGAATATATTTCATGGGATTATTAATATGATGATTGAACCAGCTAAAGGAAATACTTCAGTAATCCAACATTACAGATACAAGAGTTGAAGTTAACCAGCTTGTATGGAATAGGAGAAGAGCCACTTGATTATTTAGGATGAGAAGAATCGTCCGGACTGTGAGTGTACATACTGTGTACACACACTATAAATAATTGCAACAAACTGTATACAAATTTGTATACAGTTTGTACACTCATATATCCAGACGGTTCTTCCCGTCCAGACTCCACACGGAATAATTTCTCATCCGAAAGAGGCTACTTTTCGAAGAACCTCTCTCTCTCTCTCTCTCTCTCTCTCTCTCTCTTAGGTCTTAAAATATCTAAAAAAGAGGTTGAACGAAGCTTTCAAAAATCAAGAGTTAATTGGCAGATATATTAAAATCTCGATTTGTCCATTTTAATAATTTATGATGCTTCAAAATATTAGAACTCCTCATGGGACCCACGCACCAACCAACAAAGTCATCGCTTTCTCTTGGATCTAATCGCAAGCTTGCCCGAGCTCGTGAATCGAACTTATCGAGTTTCAAGCTAGATTACGCAACAACTGCACCATTAGGGGTGCAAACGAGTCAAGTTGAGTTGCAAGCCAACTCAAGCTCGCGAGTTAATCTTATCAAGTTTTGAGCTCGAGCTCAAACTGATTTTCAAACTCGGTGAGTAATCAAGCTCAAGTTTGATCGAATAAACACTCGGCTTGTTTACTTGTTGAGTGGCTCGATTTGGCACATGCGAAAGGTGGACAACGAGCAAACGATGAACCGCAAGTCTTTGACAGGAGAACCCCGTGCGAAAGGGCGGACCGGAGAAGGCCAACAGGCGAGCGACGCGGACAGCGAAAGGTGAACTGGCAAACGGTGTGAGAAGGACAGCAGAAGGCGTGGTCTGACAAGTTTCTCACGAGCTCATTTTCAGTGGCACAAATCGAGCTCGAATTAGACATGACTCGAGCTCGACTCGACTCGTTTGCATCCATCGGCTTCAGGCACGGCCTGCAGGCTAGCGACCGACAGAGCCCCAACCCCGGGCCCCGTCGCTGCCGTTCCCACTGACCACGGGACCAAAGCTGCAACAAGACTCGCCGATTCTTCTCTCTCCTCTCAACGACAGCTAATTTCAAAATTTAATAGTCTGGACATTCGATTTCCACCTTACATTTATAATTTAAAATAAAAAGTTATTTAAGAATATTTTAATAAAAAATCAGATAATTCCTTTATATTTTAATTTTTTTTATAAAAGAAAATTTAATTTTTTAAATAATAAATACTTCATGCTTGCCCGTCGCGGAACTGTCCGCCTGACCGTTGGTGTTTGAGTGGATAATGGGTCATGTCGAGTTCGCGTGTCGCTTCGTGTTTGCCAGCCGCGCAGCTGCCCGCTTGCCCATCGCGGAACTGCCCGCCTGACCGTTGGTGTTTGAGTGGATAATGGGTCATGTCGGGTTCGGGTCTGAAAAATTGACCCTTTTGCAAAAATGAGTCGTGTTCAGGTTGACCCGAATGGTACCGGATCAGTTCTAGATTCAACCTGAATCCAACTCGTGACACAAAATTGACACCCATAATATATAATTATATACAGTTCGGTTAGAAATAATCTAAGAATTACAACCCTCAAAATATCTTTATAAGCAGCACACTCTCCATTTTGCTCAGTGGCCCTTTTCTCCCCCCATCAACCCCAATCATTTTACCGGCCAACCACTCGCCGGAAGCTCGCACAGGTTCCACGCAGTCCAAGCGCGAGGCCATGGACCAACCAATACTCTCCTCTCTCCTCCTCCTCCTCCTCCTCTCCTCCGCCTCCGTTTCCGCAACCCGATCATCCTACATCATTCACATGGCGAAGGCCCAAAAGCCGGCGCGATTTGCAGAGCACTCGAAATGGTACGGCGAATCTCTCCGCTCTATCTCCGATTCCGCCGAGATGCTATACACCTACCAGACCGTCGCCAATGGGTTCTCGGCCCGTCTCACAGCCGCCGAGGCCCGAGTCCTGGCTCGCCGACCGGGAGTCCTTTCCGTTCTCCCCGATACCGCTTACCATCTCCACACCACTCGCACGCCGGAATTTCTCGGCCTCGATCGGAGTGACGTCGGCCATATACTGGAATCCAACAGCGCCACTGATATCATCGTCGGTGTGCTCGATACCGGCGTTTGGCCGGAACGAAACAGCTTCGACGATGCCGGACTCGGCCCTATCCCTGGCGGCTGGAAGGGGGAGTGCGTCGAGGGTAAAAACTTCGATCCTGCTAAAGCCTGCAACCGCAAACTCATTGGCGCGAGGTTCTACTCCAAAGGGTATGAGGCAAATACCGGACCGATTGACGAGAGTCGGGAGAGCAGATCCCCGCGCGACGACGACGGCCATGGCACACACACCTCCACCACCGCTGCCGGCTCCGCCGTGCCCGAGGCCAGCCTTCTCGGCTATGCTCAGGGAACCGCTCGCGGCATGTCCACGCGAGCTCGCCTCGCGGTTTATAAGGTTTGCTGGACCGGGGGATGTTTCAGCTCCGACATCCTCGCCGCCATGGATGCAGCTGTTGATGACGGCTGCAATGTGCTTTCTCTCTCGCTCGGAGGCGGCGCGACGGATTATTACCGTGATAGCATAGCCATCGGTGCGTTTAATGCGATGGAGAGAGGGGTGCTGGTTTCCTGTTCGGCAGGCAACGGCGGTCCTGCCGCCGGCACTTTGTCAAATATAGCGCCGTGGATTACAACCGTTGGCGCCGGGACGATCGATAGGGATTTTCCGGCATATGTTGTGCTAGGCAACGGGAAGAATTTTACCGGGGTGTCGCTTTACAGCGGGAAGCCGCTTCCGTCTTCTCCGATCAGCTTCGTCTTCGCTGGCAATGCGACGAACTCATCCAATGGGAATTTATGCATGCCTGGGACTCTCTTGCCGGAGAAAGTCGCCGGAAAAGTGGTTCTGTGCGAGAGAGGCATCAATGCTAGGGTTCAGAAGGGATTGGTTGTGAAAGACGCTGGCGGAGCCGGCATGGTCCTGGCAAACACGGCTGCCAACGGCGAGGAGCTAGTCGCAGACGCACATCTTCTTCCGGCTACACTGATTGGTGAAAAAGCAGGTAACGTAATCAAGGCTTACGCAATCTCCGATCCTAATCCAACCGCAACCATTATCTTCGGTGGGACAAAGGTCGGCGTCCAGCCATCGCCGGTGGTGGCGGCGTTTTCCTCTCGAGGCCCAAATACCGTCACACCGGATATCCTGAAACCGGATCTGGTTGCCCCCGGCGTCAACATCCTCGCTGGATGGACAGGTGCCGTCGGCCCCACAGGATTACCGGCTGATTCCCGGCGAGTGGAATTCAACATCGTCTCCGGGACGTCGATGTCTTGCCCGCACGTCAGTGGTCTCGCAGCACTGCTCAAGGCGGCTCATCCCGATTGGAGCCCGGCCGCTATCAAATCGGCGCTGATGACTACCGCTTACGTAGACTACCCCAGCGGTGACGGCATCCTAGACGTAGCCACCGGAAAACCAGCAACGCCGTTTGATTACGGTGCCGGCCATGTAGACCCCCCAAGCGCCATCGATCCCGGGCTCGTCTACGACCTCGCCGCTGACGACTACGTTGACTTCCTCTGCGCGCTGAACTACACTTCGATCCAGATCGCTGCGATCGTGAAGAGTCGGAATTTCTCCTGCGACGACAGTAAGAGCTACGCCGTGTCGAAGCTCAATTACCCATCGTTCGCCGTGGTGTTCGAGACGGCAATCACTGGCACCACCGGTCAGACGACCGACGGAACGACGACGGTGATACACGAGCGGTCGTTGACGAATGTGGGGTCGCCGGGGATTTATAAGGCGGTGGCGACGGCGAAGGTGGACGGCGGGGAGATCGACATAACGGTAGATCCTACGGAGTTGAATTTTGCGGAGACGGGGGAGAAGAAGAGCTACACGGTGAAGTTCACGGCGCCGTCACAGCCGTCGGGTTCTTCGGGGTTAGGGAGGTTATTGTGGTCCGACGGGAAGCACACCGTCGCCAGTCCCATCGCTTTCTCTTGGATCTAAGAAGTTTCCCACCAAAAGGAATAATATAATTAAACAGATAAAAAAAATTAAAAACAAAAATGGGTAAGAAGCAATTTGTGCCTAATTTGACTTACGGAGAATGTGCAATTTCTATTCATGTAGATTTTAAGAATTGGTAGTGTAAATTGTCATAAAGGGTGTGAGAATTTTTTTTATTTAGGTTATTTTATAAAATTATAATTTAAATTATTTTATTATGAGTTATTATTCATTATTTTATCAAAAAAAATGTTGAACAATGAAATCATATTTGTGTTGGATACAAAGTTGTACGTGAATAACACTTCGCCTTCCCACCTCTTCCGGGCTCCTCCGTGTTAGGAGCTCCCCCTAGCCCCCTACCCCGACTCCTACTTCGTATGCGGATAATCTCTCTGGTCCTTCTGTCATTCCTGATGACTGGCCCATGTCCTTTGTTTCCCCTACCAAAAAACTCTCCTTCACAGCTAATGACCTCTCTGCGGGTAAGATCATCTGGACACACTCTCTGGTTGGCTACTCCATAGGGCAACGCCCGTACTACGAGTTCCTTCTTGCCGCTATGAATAAGGCTTGGAAGTTGAATGGCTTCTTTCTTCTATCCCTGGCGGATGGCTTCTTCCTCCTTAAGTTCACCTCTGTTGAGGACATGGAGATGATCTATTCGGGTGGACCTTGGTTTCTTCTTAGTAAGCCGTTCATCCTTCAGAAGTGGAATCCAAAATTTAAACCGAAGAGGGATGAATCTGCTATGATCCCTCTCTGGATCAAAATTCTAGACCTCCCCGTTGGCTTTGTAGACTCCCGTAGGTATATCCAAAATCGCAAATTATGTTGGTATTCCTTTATCTGTTGATTCACTGACGACTAAGCGAACGAGGCTCACGTTCGCTAGGGTTTGTGTTCAAATTAGTAAGGATTCCATTTTGCCGGATGAAATTCTTTGGATTTGGATGGAGAATACATGGTTTTAAAAGTTGTTTATGTTTGGAAGCCCAACCCTTGCGAAGGCTGTGGATCTCTTTTCCACCACTTTACTCTTTGTTCTTCTAATCCCAATCCTAAGCATGTACCACCTCCCAATTTCATCCGTGGTAGAAGTAAGAGAAGAAATCCTGCCTCCCACTTTACCGGATCCTCCTCCAAGCCACCTCTCCCAAACCACATAAATACTCCTCTTGCCATTGATCTTGTGCCTGAGAAAGAAGGTTTTACTGCAATTGACAAGGCTCAAATTTCTGAGCCGGTGCTGTCTTTTGACCCTATCTAGTCTGCTCCTTTGGTTGCTCTTCCCGAGCCTCCGGCCAGTTCCAATGAGAAGGACCCGTTAATCCCAAACCTTAATCTTCCTAATGAAGAATCCTCCTCTTCACAACCCACCCCCTCTCCTAAGATAATGCTCCCACCTCAAGTTCTTCTAGCTAACAGCTTTGCTTCCTTGCATTTCGAACCTCCTCTTCCTGTGTTGGCTGAGGATGTTCTGGATGGGGAAGAAAAATTCTCTTCTTCTTCTCAGTCGGTGGACTCCCGCAACCAGAATTCTGTGGGTTCCTCCTCCAAGCTTGCTTCTCCAACCAAAGTCAAATCTTATGCTAAAAAAACTAAAACCTAAATCCACATCTGCCAAAAAGGCAAAACCTCCACGTTAATTATGTCCCTGCCCGCTTTTGCTACCTGGAATGTGAGAGGATTTAATCATCCTCTTAAAGTTAGGATGTGCAAAGACCTCATTAGCTCCCATAAACTTAAGTTTCTTGGTATTTTAGAAGCAAAAATTCAGGCTTCCTTGCCCTCTAACCCTTGGTTTTGTCATTCTCACATTCTTTTTGATAATGAACAATGTTGTGATAACTTTGGTTTTTACAATCCTGGTAGAATTTGGCTCAAGTGGGATTCTTCTGTTATGACCTTTTCCCCTTCTTTTATTTCCTCCCAAATCATCCATGGGACTCTCTCCTCTTGTTCCTCTCCCCCTATTTTCCTATCTGTCATCTATTCGGCTAACCTTTCTGATGAAAGGAAAGTGCTTTGGGACAACCTTCTGGAGCTCTCTCAAGGTATTAATCTACCTTGGGCTGTCATGGGGATTTTAACTGTTTCAGATATGATTTTGAGAAAGTTGGTGGTGCCCCTTTACCCCAGGGAAGGCTGGGTGAGCTGAATAATTTTTTTTAATAGTGGGCTTCAAGATCTTACCTCGGTGGGACTTCTCTTTACCTGGTTTAATCAAAGGGCTGATCTCCCCATTCACATTAAGCTCGATAGAACGTTGGTCAAATCCAGAATTTCTGAATTTCTACCCTTCTGCGTATTGCAAGGTTGATTCTCCCTTTGGATCTGATCATTCCCCTCTTATTATGATGGCAAATCCGGTTAATAGAACCTTCTCTAGGTTCATGTTCAAGAATTTTTTGCTCAACATGGAGGGGTTTTGGGATGTTTTACTTCATGCTTTTGACCAGCCTGATAATGCTAGCCCCATTTGTGCTTTTTATAATTGTTTAAGGGATCTCAAAACTGCTATTAAGGGAAAGAATTGGTCTTCTGCTTCTTATTTGTCCAATGCTATTTTGGAAGCTAAGAGTCTTCAAATGCAATGTCTTATTGATTTATAAAGTAATCCTTTGGACTTAGGCCTTAATGTTGCTCTTAGAAGGGCCAATAATAATTTAAGTCTGTTACAAATGGAATGGTCTTCTTGGATTGCTCAAAGAGCCAAAACTTACTGGATTTCTTAAGGGGAAGATGATCTGGGCTTTCTGTATGCTAAGATCCATTCTAGAACTAATAGAAACATTATTAAGGAGATTTCCTCTCCTTGGGGTATTATTTTTGGCCATCATAACATTGCTGTTGAATTAACCGATCATTTTAATACCATTTTTAATGCCCCAAACCATGCTCAGGAAGGCTCCATGCTCATTCCCGTGGGCAACATGGTTCCCTCCACATGCATGAACTCCTTAGTTGCTCCCATTATTGATGCTAAAATTAAAGATGTGGTGTTTGCTGGTAAATCTGATTCTGCCCCTAGTCCTGATTGTTTTTCCTTTAGTTTTTTTTCAACAGGCTTGGCACATCATTGGGTACAAACTTTGCCTTGCTGTCATGCATTTTTTTGCTTCTGGACATATGCCCAAAGGGGCTAAGGCAACTGCTACCACCCTCATTCCCAAAGGGTCCCACACTACCAACATCTATGATTATAGACCGATTTCCTTATGTAAAGTTTTCTATAAAATTGTGGTCAAGATTATTGCTAATAGGCTTAAACCTATCCTACCTTTTATTATTCATGAAAGTCAATCTGGTTTCAATGCTAATAGGCACTCCGCTGACAATATTATCCTGGCGACTGAATTGCTTAAGGTTTTTAAGTGTTCTCAAAAGTTTTTTTTGTGCCAAGCTTGATATCAAAAAAGCCTTTGATTCTGTTTCAAGGAGTTTTTTGCTGAACAGATTGAGACTTAAAGTCTTCCTGGACATTTTTATTAAATGGATCAATGGTTGCATTAATGATGTTCACTTTTCCATCTGTCTTAATGGCTCTTTGGAAGGATTCTGTAACTCTACATCTGGACTTCATCAGGGATGTCCTTTATCCCCTTTGCTTTTCTGTATTTCCATGGATGGTTGGTTTGTCACAATGCCTTCATATTGAGAATCAACCTTCTTTTATGGGGCTTAGTCAAAGAACTTTTTGTATTAAGCATCTCATGTATGCTAATGACCTTTTGGTTTTTGGGGTTGCTTCCCAAGATAATTTGGTTTGCCTCAAGAACACTGCAACTTTTCTCTGAAGCTTCTAGCCTTCACATCAACCCGATGAAAAGCTCTATCCTTTTTTCTAAGAATGTGGAAATTGCTGCAAACCTGGCTTCTATTTTGTACATTTCTTCCATTGAGAGCTCTCTTACCTATTTAGGGATTCCTATTGCCTACAATAGACTTAATTTTACTCACTTCCAACCCTTATTGAGCAGAATTTCTGCTCTACTTGAGGTCGGAAAGTTAAATTTCTTTCTTTTGTAGGGAGGGTCCAATTTTTAAAATTTACTATTGCCAATACGATTGCTTATTGAATTAGGGGAGCTATTTTACCTAAATCTTGCCGTAAAGTTATTTCCAAGTTATGCTCTAAATTCATGTTTTTTGGAAACATTAAAGATAAGAAAATACATATCATTTCCTGGAAAGTTGTCACTAAGCCTAAGTATAAAGGGGGTCTGGGAATTCCTTCTTTTGACTCTATTTATCATGGAGTTATGTGCTCTTTCATTTGGAAAATGTTTAATGTTCATTCCATTTTGGGTCAGTGGTTTAAAGTTAAATATGAATCACCTTGGAAGCCTCCTCCTTCGTCGGCTTCAAAATTTTGGAAGTTGGTTTATAACACGGCTCATCTGGTTAAAGAATTTTTTTGCTTTAAAGTGGCCCCTTCATGCACCTTTTCATTGCTCTAGGATCCTTGGTACAATGGTGATTCATTAGCAAAAACTTTTTACAGCAATTCTCTTGCTTGCTGTGTTGTCAAGGATTTTCTTACTAATGGGAATTGGTCTATTCATGTTCACTAGCGTCTTGATATTAAAGATAATATTCTTAGCATTGGTATTGAGGAGAAACCTATTATGGCTTGGGCTGGTTACTCTAAGCCTACTTTTAAGAGATTTACTACTCAATTCTTTGATAATATGGATGATGTGAGTTGATTTAAGTTCATTTGGCATAAGGGTAATGCTATTCGGTATGCTTGTTATTGCTGGATGGCTATTCAAGGGGAGCTTAAATGCGTGGATATTCTTATTTATAGGGGGATCCCGGTCTACCCCTTATGTGGATTTTGTATGGCTCATAATGAGTCTCACTCCCATTTATTCTTTAATTGTGATTTCACCTTTTTTGTTATCTCCTCCATGATCCCAGTTCTTAATTGCTTCTACCTAAGACCCGATTTATACCAGGTTTATGATTTTTTCAATAGCAATCCCAATTACAAAGTTTTGGAGAATTTTTTTTTTATCCATTTCTGTGGCTGTTTATTTCATATGTAGAGAACGTAACTTCAGGAGATTCTCTAAATCGTGTAACACCCCAGATTATGTCAAAGAGGCTATTACTTCTGCCATCCGTGCAAAAAATCGTAACTGGAATATTTATGACAAATTGGTGGATCGGTTTAAGGAGATTTTTGTGTAACTGCTTTCTCCGACTACTTTCATCTGGGCTTGGTTCCCTTCCTGTGCCGCGGTTTTGTTTCAGCTTCATTGGATGTATGCCTCTCGGTGTAGACATTTATGGAGTTTTTACTGCTTTTGGCGACCAATTTTATGCATTTATGGTTGCTTTGCTGTTATGTTACCGATTTTTGTGGTGGCAGTTTTTTTGGAGGTTGAGGACAATGATGAGCCAAGGTCTACACCTACTTTCCCTTGAAGGATCTTCTGGCAACCAAGGAAGGTTTATTGATGCTTACGATTTTATTTGGAACACTGTAATGGTTCCTAGCTTTGGCCTCACAGAAACCGATGTTCCTTACTAGTGGCTGTGGATCTTGCAGCTTATGTGGGATTTTCGTGTGCTATCCCAATTTTGTAAATGATATATTTATGTGTAGACCTTTTTCCTGAGTCCAACCTTTTTTTATACTTCCTTTTTGTTCTTGGGGGCATTGGAGCTTTACTTGTATTTTATTACTTCAATTTTGTAATTTGTAACCGCTCTTGATTCAATAAATGGGCTTAGCCCCAAAATTTTCCCAAAAAAAAGGTAATTTATAAGTTAGAGCTTGGAAAATTAGACAAAATTAGAGTGAGTATAGACATTAGGAGAAATAGCCCTAACTTCTTTGCAAATCTCACAACATATGACAGCAGGTCTCAAAAGATCAAAAATAAGTATCTTCATCTTTTATTTATAAGATTTAGAGCACCATACTAAATGATGTATTTAAAAGAATAGAAAATATAATATATTATATAACTATTATAAAATGTTACAAATATAAATATGCATCTTAAAGAAAGAGTAACAAGTATATCATTTTTATGATAGGTATTCATCATATTTCAACAGAAACCAAGTTCATCAGATATCAACAAAAAAAATCAAGCAACAGAAACATTACAAAAGGGCAAATCTGCAACAAAAGAACCATTAGCTATTCAAGCATTGCAACAGCAGATGTTGTAATTTCCTGATAGGTATTTATCACTTTTAAATGTAGAAAAATCATGCTTTCACAAATGCAGGCTTTGGAAGGTGAGATTTGCCAGATTGTTCACAAAAATATGCTGAACGACAGCCATAACAAAATACAAAAGCAGCATTAAGATCATGCCAAAAAACAAAAGGGCAAACGGTAATCAACAGTGAAAGCAAAAACGTTATCATGTTCACCCCTCAACATTCCTCCAAGATATATCAGTCCAGGCTTGGGATGTCACACACCAGTTTTGTTCTCTCTGCAAAAACAGGGTATTAACCAAAAGAGAAATCAAAATGAAGTCTTATTCCTTAATTGCAAAGGCTAATTTTCATAGTTCAGCCCCATCCAATGCTTAGGGCATCGCCAACCAAACTGCAAATGTCGTTCGCAGGTACCGCGAACCTCCACCCCAACACAAAAAAGAAATGTATTTTTTCGAATGTAAACAGTACGAGACCCAAAATTGGGGTAGTGACACCAATATTGAGGCCACACTATTCACCGAAATAATTTTTGTGAAAATAAAGATGAGAAAGAATTTACATGAAATATTCTTTTTTGTATGAGAAAAGGAGATCAATTGGAGATGAATTATTGTATGATACGGCTATTACAGTATTTTGAACGCAAAAAAGAAACGCAATTTTTCGAATGTGAACAGTAAGACACCAATATCAATGTGATGTCAATATTTGTGACACGCTATTCACAAAACCCCTTTTTGGTGAAAATGATGATGAGAAAGAATTTACATGAAATATTCTTTTTTCTGAAACGCATTTTTTCGAATGTGAACAGTGAGACACCAATATCAATGTGATGCCAATATTGGTGATGACACACTATTCATAAAAACCCCCTTTTTTGATGAAAATGATGATGAGAAAGAATTTACATGAAATGTTCTTTTTTCTATTAGAAAAGGAGTTCGATTGGAAATGAATTATTGTTTGATATAACTATTACTGTATCTTGAAGTGGAAAATGAGTTTGGTTGGAGATGCCCTTAAGCAAACGAATGGGTACATTCATTTCTTTAGAATTGGACCGACAATACAGTAGCTATGATAACAAGACCTCTTCCATGAGAATTTTACATTCATACAAAGTTTTAAAACTGATTCTAAACAATTTACTTTATGATAACTATAGACCTCTTCCATGAAAAAAAAAAAAAGAGAATGACTGAGAACAAGTACAATCAACAGAATGAAGCAACTCACTGAGGAATGTATTTGTCTTCTAAATAATTCACAACTTTGACAACAGCATGAAGAGCCATTTTCCTCACCTGGATAATTTACATGAAACAAATCAAATTTAGTACAGCAAAACCATCAAAATCACTTGATATGCCAAAAGTTAAAAAAAAAATAATAAACAAAATAAATTGGAGAGGAACCTCTAGCTTGTCCTCATTGGCTCTATGGAACTGGGGAAGCAGGCGGAATCCTTCTGTCAGCTTGATGCACTCATGAACATTTTCCGGAGACACAAAGTCGAGTGCAACTTTTATGCAGGACTGTCACAAATAGATGATATATCACACATACTAGATACGCATTTCATATTACTTAATCCAATTCATGACAACTTGAAAAGAAATTTAAAAACGAAGTGTTTAAGGCGAAATAATGATCTTGTATGTATTGATGAAGCCTTGTTTTTGAATGCTCATACCTTAAGATTTCTAACCTGATGTGGGCATCCAGCAGGGATAAATACAGCCTCTCCAAGCTTCTGAACAAAAGTCCAAGGCTCAATTCCTGGGCACAAAATACTAGAATGAGATTTGATTGAAAGAAAAGTAATCGATACAAGAACCGAATAAAAAATGATAGAAAGAGACTCACCATATTCATCCTTGAGTTTCATTTTGTGTTCCATTGTTAGATAGAAAGTTTGGTCATATATAGGATGATAAACCTAATAACAGAGATCAGAAATCCTGTTGTAAAGCAAGTTTGTCCGAGCATAAGAGCAAAATGTAAACTGATCTGTAGCATATTCTACCTTCTCTATAGGAGAATCATTAAAATGTCTGAATTCCTTATAATGCCTTCTAAGATATTCTTCTAATTTGGGAACATCTTCTCTTCGAAAAATATCCCACAAGGCACCACCTTCTTGGTTTTTTTCCTTGATCGAACCATTTGGAATAGTGTGCTGCTTCTGTACTCGGACCTTGTTAGCTTTCCCATTTATTTTGACCTCTTTTGCCCTACTCGTTTTCCCTATGGCAGCAAAATGTTCAAATCCTTGAGCAAGAGGCCCTTTCCTATTTTTCTTTCTCGTAGGTTTCACAGATTCAGATTCAAGTGAGGATACAGATGATGAGGGCTTAACATTTCCAGCACAAAGCTTTTCAGAATATCTTGGGGGTTTACCCTTCTTCCGAAAATAAGAAATAACATTCTTGTTAACTGTTTTCTCATCTTTTTCAGGTCCTGCATGAAACTTTATATCAAATTCAGAAATAACAAAAACAGCCTAGTCTTGCAATTAGAGTGGCATAAGAAAGAACAAGCAGATTAAAATTGCTCGCCTTCCAAAGCGCTATTTGATTTCACAGCCTCAAGATCCGATTTGATCTCAATATCACATTTTTTCTCCAGCACGGCACTATCAACATTCTTATCAAAGTTTATTTTGCAATTAACCTTATCAATTAAACAGTCATGTTTCAAAGTTGTCGCCTCTGAATTTAAGATCTGAACATCATTACAATTTTGTTGAACAAGTTTTTCTTCAGTGGGAATTTTTAGAGCATCCACTTTTTTCTTTCTTAATTTCTCAATTTTGGAAAGCACCTGCTTTGATAGGGAAACTTCTGCAGTATGTGTCAATAGATTCACCTGAAAATTGAAGCCATACCCAATCAAAAATCAGAAATGTCAATTTATCTAGTAATGATGTGTTTCTCGTAAATTGTGTTGTAACTTAGGAAATTACGTTTGTGCATACAGAGCGGGACAAGTTTGACGTAGAACAATAATGATGCAATGTAAATGTTAGCAAAATAGTTCACCAATCGATCAAACTATACTAGCCTAACAAACAAAACGAAATGTTAGCGGATTAGAATGAACAATTGGTTGAACTTGAGTTAAAAAAACTTGGTTTTTATTGCAAGATAAGGTGATCTCTAAAATTAGAATACCAAGATTATAAACCAAGAAGCAATGAAAATGTAAGATCTCATGAGAGCCTAGATGCCAGATTTGTCGTAAGATTGAACCTCCTATAAAACTCTTTCAAAGGTTGTGAACTCACACACTTGAGAAATACTTCTCTTGTGGTGGAAAAAAACAATGATACAATAGAAACAAATAGAACATAGGTTATGACGTAATACTAATATTTCTCAAAATCAATTTGAATTCATGTCAAGCATATCTTCTATGGAAACTACACATTTGTTGAGAGGTTTGATGGAGAAGTATAGAGAAAGTAGAAGGATTTGCATAGATATTCATTGTGTTAGAGAAAGCATATGATAAAATTTCAAAAGAAGTGCTCTGAAGAGTTCTAAAAAGGAAGTTAATAACACTCATAATCAAATTATTAAGGATATCCATACAGGAATTGTTATGTTAAACATCAGCATATTATTTAAGATTTGAAAATTTTACAATCCAAATACATAGAAGGGACTACAAACTAGATGGAACAACCAACAATTATGAAAGTCAACCAAAGAAGAACGAATAAACATATGCCACATGACAAAATAAATAATATGGGTTAACATGTGTAAGAAAGCACTAGTCGAATATTTTCTTTATTCCTTAAGCTTCTTGAAGGATCAAGAAGAGTAGGCACCTTTAGAGTATGTGCGAACTCCAAAAGAAAGAGAAGATATATGACAAGAATTGGAAACCAAAATTTTTATTCCATAATCTTTTTGTTTACAATGAGTGACACAGGAGATGAAGCAATAAAAATCTGAAGCAGCCAAGCAAAACTGGACCAGCAGTTGTGACCAGGTCACCTGGGTTATGGGTAGTTTCGGTTTAGTCTTTTGTGGGTCTATTAGGTTATGTTTTAAAAGTCTATTTAAAGGGAATTTCTAGGGGTTTTCTATGAAACCCTTACATTTTGAAGTCAATTTTTTGAAAATCTTGTAGCGTTGGTCTGTACAAGCCGTTTGTACGAACCGAACATGGTGCAGGTTCATCTGTACGAATCATCAGTACGAACTGAGTTCGTTTGTACAAACTGAACAAATTTTTTTTTACAGAGCCCATCCTCCAGGAGACGAAAATCAATTATCTTCCGTACGATATGTGGACATAGGAGATCATCCCAGAACGAACGAAAAATATCATCCGTACGATCTGAAATATCTCAGCCCATTAAATATCCCATACGTTCAATTTTGAAGAGAGAGCTGGTTTGTGTATTAAATAGAAGGAAGAAAAGGAAAAAAGCTTGGTTTCGGAGGCTGCGGAGCGATTTTCGTATGTCGACGCAGTTGGAATAATTGCTCATCTCGCAGTAAGGAATCCGTATCCTATTTCTGATTTCGAAGATTTCGTGTTTTGATTTTTTTGCTCAGATTTGTGTTTCTATTACCGAAAAACATGCATATCTTTGTATTGACGAAACTTTCACCGCGTAACTTATGATATGTTACAGAGGATATGATTTTGCACGTTTTGGATATTTTCTGAAAAATTTTCATTGAATATTTTGAAATCTATGGGGTTTTTACCGAATAAAAAATTATCTAGATGTCAAAAAATATTGCTTCAGTACAATTAAAGTTTTCAAATGATGTTTTACACGATCTCTGATAATTTGGTAATTTTCTGAAACTGTGAATTTTGCATGTTTTGTATATTTTCTGAAAAATTTTCACCGAATATTTTGAAATCTATGGGGTTTTTACCGAATAAAAAATATCTGGATGTCAAAAAATATTGCTTCAGTACAATTAAAGTTTTGAAATGATGTTTTACACAATCTCTGGTAATTTGATAATTTTCTGAAACTGTGAATTTTGATTCATCAGATTTTCTATGTCTGTTGTTATACATTCTGATGATATTTTAATATATGTCTGATTTCTCTGGATATGATATGTATTGATGAGATGAAAATGAATGTGGTTACTTGATTGAAAGTATTATTATATTACTGTGATATGGCTGTGTGTAAAGACTGGTTGAACGTTGATTAGATGACTGATTGAACTATACAGGATGGTGGGCCGACGAACTTTCCTTTAAAATATGGTTTGGTGTTATCCTTTACTGATTCACGTGATACTGATTGGGAGTTCTAAGGAGATGATTACTGTGCCGACGGACAAAGAGTGAGACTCTGTTTACTAAACCAACGGATATATAAGGATCATGATACTCATACTAATACAAGACTGAAAAACACTGTAATAGCCAGTGCTTCTACTTGTTTAGTATGACTACTGTACTGAAATGCATGTTTTGAAGCATTTTTCTTATTATTGTACGGATTTATTGTTACTGTACGGTTTTATTGTTCTGCCCGAATTTATTGTTACTGCACGATTAAAAATCATTATTGTATTATTGTTTCTATCACTAGATTGTTACTGATACTGATTCAGACATTGGTACTAATTGATACTACTGATTCATTGTACTTATCTTATGCATGTGATACATTGAGTAAGTGATATAGAATAACTGGATTGCATGTGATATACTGAGCACGCGATATAAAATATGATTTTACTGCATCGATTTGATTTCAACAATTACTATCGATGTATTGATTTGACGTTGTACTGATATTATGGATATGATACTTTCTTTAGTGATTTGACTGAGGTTATAGATGCGACGATTACTGTATAGATCTGGCATATATACGAGTTTATTGCTTTACGAACTTTTATACTGTTTACAGAATTTACTACTGTAAATTTTGGATATTACTGTTTCTGCACTGATTTCTGTTTATTCATTGACTCAATGATCATGTGTAAGTGATTGATATGATTTGACTGATTGACATGCATATTACTTTTATACCGTGCTTTGATTTCAGTTGTAGGTTGATGATCTGCTGGGCTTTTTAAGCTCATTATATGTGGTTAATGATTTCAGGTAAGGGCAAGGGAACAGGAGTGTGAGATTGATCAGGGTTCTTCAGGTTCAATTCCTTTTTTTTTGTTCCAGCGATTCTTTTTGTACTGAGGACAAGATGGATACGTGATAATTATGAAGATCCTGAGTAATATAAATGACTTTGGGAATGAATATAAATGTGTACATTGATGTTTTATAATTCTAAATTATATAATATGTTGTACCGTTATTTACTGATAAATGACATAGAGAGCTTTGGTTGTTGATTATTAAATAATTAAATGAATAATTCTTCCAAGTTAGATCTTTGAGGATATCACCTTTTCAGGGCGGAGTTTGTATTCGGTTTGGTCCATATTCAGCCTAGCTGAACAATCTGTATCTTCGGTTTGCAACCAGGTGGTGTCTTTGCAAGCCTTACTTTTTTTTTCTTTTCTCTTCCCTGCCATCTATTCTTTCCTCAATGGTTGTTTATTGTAAGGATTGTACTGTTTTCCTGCTAATAAGATAATTCCAAATCTGGTTTTTCTTGTTCATAGCTACTGTTATATCCAATTTCTATTTTCTGGGAGATTCTTCAGGGTCAACAAGAGATGTCTTTATAATGTTTAAATAGATCAACATGTTATTATAGACCTGGCCTACCAAAAATAATACTAAATTAATGCTTTCATACACATGTGGACCCATATAATTTATGTTGACAAAATAATATTTTTATCATGTAGCATATGTTTATTCCTTTTTTGGTAGACTTTCATAATTGTTGATTGTTCCGTCTTGTTTGTAGCTCATTTTACATATTTAGATACCAATTTCGGATCCAAAACAATATGTTGATGTTTAACATATTACTTGTGTTCAAACACAAGGTGGTTACACCAATTATTTTCCTATTTCAATTGGATTACATCAGGGATCAACTTTAACCTCGAATCTTTTTGCTTTAGTCAAAATGTTCTTACTAGACATTTGCAGGAGCATATACTTTGGTGTACGTTTTTTTTCCTAATGATATTCATCTTATTGATAAAACTAGAGTGAGATTTGATGGAAAAACTTAAATTATGAACGGCAACCTTAAAGTCTAAAGGTTTTAGTTTTAATTGTTCAAAAACTAAATACATTGAGTATAATTTTAGTAGTAATAGATTGAGCAATGAGATTATGACATTAGGTGATCAAGTCATTAAAAAGAATGCATGTTTTAGATACCTCGGGTCTATTGTTCAAAGAGATAACGAAATAAATGGAGATATGATAGGAAGTGGGTGTAGAAATTGAGAAAAATAGGAATAACACACACGAACTTTTTATTGAGAGATATATGAAGAAAAAACTAAGATACAATTGAATCATCAATTGGAGAGGAAGATCCTGCTCTCCCAAATCTCTAACCATCAATTAGAGCCATCTCAAAAAAGACTACAACAAACACAAATTACCTCCCTCAAAATAACATAGTCAGCCTTAAATAGGTTACCACTAATTCCCTCCCAAATCAGCCCCATTTTCCTAAATAATTCTGTCTTAGGCTTTAAATTCAAATTAAATTTCTTCCCCTAAATAACTCCCTCAAAAATTATAATTAAAACTTCCCTAAATGTTCCCCCTTGATTCCTGCTCCCTTTCCCTAAATAATTCACTATTGTCATAAATAATTCCCTCCCAATTATAATTCAAACTTTGCTAAGCAATTGATGCTATCAAGAATTTCTGTACTTTTTATTTTATTTGAACAATAGTATATTTTGTTTTCTTTTCTTTTTTAGCTATCCAAT